TGAACATGTAGTTAGATCATCTTGTCTTTTCTTATTTGAAGTTATAAAATTCACAAAAAAATATTATTAAAGAAATAATAATTATGAGGCAATTTTTTGATAAATATAATAAATATTTCAATTCAAAAAACTTAAAGAATTTCATAGTGAAATGTAAATTAAAATGTGAAAGAATGATGTTGAAATAAAGTAAATAAAAATAAGTGGAACCTTTAAAAAGTAGTTTTACGAGGTTTATGCTTATTGAAATTTTTTTATTGTAAAAGTAAGAATGATGTTTGAATGACTCGACACCTTAGAAATATCAAAAGGAGATTTTTTATGGTGTTGTGTTACCACAAAGATGCCACGACAACTTGACACATCCGCTCTAAATAGAACTAGTACAATATGCGTGTATTACACGAGTGTTTGTTAAAAAATTTCTATTTAAAATTAAAAATAATAATAATAAAATTGTTTTAATTTTCAAATAAATTTTTGAATAACTATATTACTATTTATAATTAAAATAACACGCATCACTTATACGGCTTACCGTCTTATATTATAATATTGTCTTAATTTATATTATTGAACAACTTTGTAGTTAAATTGATTTAAATAATTTTTTTTAATTAATATTAATAGATAATATATTTTTTATTATAAAGATAAATATATTTATTTATCTATTTTATATGTACAATATAGGTTTTAAATCGAAGCTCACCAAGACATGATTAATTTGATATATTATGTATAAAAAAATTATTAACTTTTAAATCTACTTTTAATTTAAGTTATTAATTTTTTTTATAATTTTAAACTAAAGATGAGGAAAAAAAGAAAGATTGAGAAAAAAATTATGTCTTCTAAATCACGTCTAAAATATGAAATATTATTAATGTTCTTAAAAAAGATCATAAATATCTAGTATATATATCTATTGTTATTTCAAATTTAATTATTTTTGGATAGGGAGTAAATTAAAATTCATTTCAGGCAAATGACAAAGTATAAAATATTGTCAGGGATCCCAAAACATGCGAGTCTGCCACTTATGTTCAGCACATTCGATAATTATATATAGGAGATAATAAAATCACTGTGCTAGATATAAATAGGCTAGTACATGGAGCACGTTCTTCTCATGTTTCCTTTTAGGTAGGTAGAGAAATTAATGCCGTTGAAGGTTTGTAACAATTAGAGTTGAGTGCAATTACACTCGTATTAAATAGTTGTCCCCAAAGTGTGAGGGCCCAAAACTTTGGTTATTTTGTGTACCTTATTTTGTTTAATTTTGTTGTGTGGGCATGAATCTTAGGAAATGTGTAGGAACCACATTCCTCTTTCCATATGCAAGAGTTTAGAATTTGGACCACCAAAACAATCAAGTGGCAGTGGGGGAATTCAAAATGAAAACATATGCACGAGTCACATATATATGCCTTATCGTGGGTAGATACTAGATATGCATTTAATTAGAACCCAGCAATAAATATTACAAAATGAAAATATAGTAAATTATCAAATTTGCCTTGTTACTAAGATTAGTAGTCAAAAAATGAGTGGTCTTTACAAGGTGGTTCCTTCTTACTAACAATAGTAGTGGAAATTGAAATGTTTTGTGTTTAATTTAATTTACGCGATTTTAACACAGTTTATGAACCAACTGTTTTCATTCAACATTATGCTATATTTATTTCATATCTATCTTGATGATTACTTTTTCATTTTTATTCAACTTACAATCTTAAGAATATTTTGCTGTTCTCTCAGCAAGATTAAAGGGGTTTGTGTATTAATTCTGAATTTTAAACATTTTAAACACTTTATGAGAAACTTGTAATAATTTTGATAGATTTGATTTGGACATTTTAATACATTTACAAGTTTTGAGGCCTTCATTTGAGATTTCAAAGTCTTAAATAATCTTGAAACAATCATTTTATTTATTACGTGAATTTGTCTATATTTTTTTAAAACTTACTTCAAAGACAAAATACATGTAAAATATAAAACAAATCCCGCCTCCCTATAGACACGAAATTTCTAAGAGTGTGTTTGTTTATAAATTATCTCATACTCATACTCATACTCAATCCATATTCAAAACCTAACATAACTTTAACTCAACTCGACTATCCTCAATATTATCAGTATAACTAAATAGTATCAATCAATTATCATCCTTACACATCACATCAACCTTAATTCACTATTTATCCACTCACATAATTTTAATTTCACGACACTTTCCTTCTACTTTTATATCAAACCAACATTAATCATTTTATTTTAAATATTATTTTAATACAACCCTAAAATTTCACTAACAACTAACCATACTAATTTTTTTAAAATTAACCCTGGTTAACAAAAAATAAAATAAAAATCAGTAAAAAACTGAGTCTTGAAATGTTAATTCATGCAGAACATGTTCGTCGCCGGGACGGACACAACGTCGAGCACGGTTGAGTGGGCTATAGCCGAGCTCCTCCGGCACCCTAAAATCCTGGCCCAGGCACAGCAAGAGCTCGACTCTGTCGTCGGCAAGGATCGACTCGTATCTGAGTCCGATTTGAGTCGACTCACCTATCTCCAAGCCGTCGTCAAGGAAAACTTTCGCCTCCACCCCTCCACCCCACTCTCCCTCCCGCGTATTGCGCAGGATAGTTGCGTGGTCAACGGTTACCTCATCCCTAAGGGCTCGACCCTTTTGGTCAATGTTTGGGCCATAGCTCGCGACCCGGACGTTTGGCCCGACCCGCTCGATTTTAGGCCCGAGCGGTTCCTCCCAGGTGGGGAGGGGGCTGGGGTCGACGTTCGGGGGAATGATTTCGAAGTGATACCGTTTGGGTCGGGACGAAGGATTTGTGCGGGTGTGAGTCTTGCAATGCGCATGGTTCAGTTGTTGATAGCGAGTTTGGTTCACGGGTTCGATTTCGAGCTGGCTGGCGGGCAGTCGGCCCATACGCTGAACATGGAGGAGGCGTATGGGCTGACGTTGCAGCGGGCCGAGCCCTTGATGGTGCACGCGAGGCCCAGACTCGAGACTCGTGCATACGGTGGGGCTTGATTCGTGAATGTGGTTTTAATTTAACGTTGAATTTGTTATTGTTGGATGTTGATGTTGATTATGTAGATTTGTTGCATGTTTATGGGGATATGTGTTGTAATAAGTGTTGTGTCTCAATTTTATTCAGATTCCAATTTATTATGTGTTGTATTATTGAGTGTAATAAATATGGTTGGTGGCATATTGATGGTGGAGTGTGTCAAAATTATTAATGGCTGAGGATGTCATGAATGCAATGTGTCAGGATCATTAATGAGGCATATGACTTCTCAAACAATTCTCCTTCTCTACTCAATCAATTGGTCATAATAATTAAGACGAGTGATTATAATTCTTCCCAACCAACCTCATAAAGGCGACGAGTGGAGAAGTCTTCAATTTGCTGAAAAATCCTTATATAAATAGATGGAGTTGCATTCGGCAGAGAACGGAGAAAAATCACCATACGGCATAAGAAAGAAATGGAAATAAAATAGAAAAAATAAAAATAATATTTATATTTTTATTTTAGTGCTCAATTCTCGATTCCGTTCCAGTTCGCTGGAGCTCATAAATCTGGTGTGCTACAGATTTAGAGACGTTTGCCGTTGTATCTTTGGAGAAGTTACGCCTGAACCGTTAGCAGCCACACGGGGCGTATTCTTCTTGCGGAAAGAGTTTTACTCGCCTGGGCTAAAATCTTTCTGTAATTTTTTTTTTCAGTTGTAATTTATTTTAGTCTGTAATTTATTTTTTAGTTCAATTGTAATTTTTTATTTTAGATTATTTGTAAGAACTGAAAAAATTACATATCAGTTCGTAGGATTCCCGTGTATTTTTATATCAATTTTATAACAATCGCAAGAAGAATATTTGTCATCATACTGAACTGATGGCATCCAATGGAGAAGGTTCTCAACATCAGCATCCGGTCAACCCAGTTGTTAATAATCCGGTACGAGCTGTTCATGTCCCCACGGCCGAGAAGCCCGAAAAATTCAACGGGCTTGATTTCAAGAGATGGCAACAGAAGATGCGCTTTTACCAAACCACCTTGGGTTTGGAAAAGTACCTGAAGGACGATCCTCCAGTAATTGATGAAAATGAAACCAATGCTGAACTACGCAATGCGTACGATGCTTGGATGCAAGGTGATTATCTTTGCTGTAACTATGTCCTGAACGGACTTAGTGATGAATTGTACAATGTGTACAGCTCGGTTGGTTCTGCCAAAGAGCTTTGGGCTGCTTTGAAAAAGAAGTACAAGACCGAGAATGCCGGGGCGAAGAAATTCGTCGTCGGTAAATTTCTTGACTTCAAGATGGTCGACTCAAAGACCGTTGTGTCCCAAGTGCAAGAGTTTCAACTTATCTTGCACGATATCCATGCTGAGGGAATGTCTCTGAGCGAGTCATTCTAAGTTGCAGCTATGATTGAGAAACTGCCACCGGGTTGGAAAGACTTCAAAAACTACCTCAAGCATAAGAGGAAGGAGATGAGTCTTGAAGACCTTGTTGTTCGTCTTCGTATTGAGGAGGACAACCGGAATTCATCTGGAAAAGCTCAGATGATGGAGGCTCGTACAAATTTGCTGGAACAAGGCAACCCAAGCAAAAGGAAGTCCCTGGACAAAGAGAAGCAACCAGGTAAGGTTTGGAAATTTACAGGTACTTGTTATAACTGTGGAAAACCGAACCATATGGCGAAAGACTGCAAGAGGCCAAAGAAGGTTGTGCCAAAGAAAGGTAAACCAAGTGCCCTTGTGGCTGAACACGGCCGTGTGTCGGGTGAATTGACCGACATTGATATATCGGCTGTGGTGTTTGAAGCCAATTTAGTGGATAACCCAAGGGAGCGGTTCATCGATACTGGTGCTACTCGTCATGTGTGTTCCGACAAGGAGGTATTTTCTGAATACACTCCTACTACGAGTCGAAAACTTCACATGGCAAACTCCTCCACGCCTGATGTGGCTGGAGTGGGCACTGTGGTGCTGAAGCTGACTTCTAGAAAGGAGTTAAAGTTTAAGGATGTTCTGCATGTCCCAGACATCCGCAAGAATTTGGTCTCTGGATCTCTTCTTGTTGAGCATGGATTTAGACTTGTGTTTGACGCTAAGAAGTTTTTTCTTAGTAAGTTTGGAACATTCCTTGGTCGTGGATATATCGACAAGGGTTTGTTCAAAATGAATGTAATGGCTCTGAGCCGTGTAACCGTTGCTAGTGAGAATGAAAAGCCTATTTCTGTTTATACAGTTGAGTGCTGTGATTTATGGCATGTTAGATTGGGACATGTAAATCTAAATGCAATTAAACGGTTGATGAATTGAGAATTAATTCCAAATTCTAAAATAGAATCACATAAGAAATGTGAAATATGTGTTGAAGCAAAAATGGCTAAGTTGCCTTTTCACTCGGTGGAAATGAGTACTGAACCATTAGGCTTAATCCATACTGATGTATGTGATATGAAAAGTGTGCAAACAAAAACCGGTAAAAAGTATTTTGTAACTTTTATCGATGATTGCACAAGGTTTTGCTACTTATATTTGTTAAGAAGCAAAGACGAGGCTATGGAAGCGTTTAATATCTATAAGACCGAAGTTGAAAATCAACTCGGCAAGAGGATTACAATAATCCAAAGTGATAAGGGTGGGGAGTATGTAGCTCCTTTTGAACAAATATGTTCTGAATATAGCATAATTCATCAAACGACGACCCCTTATTCTCCACAGTCGAACGGTGTTGCTGAACGCAAGAACCGTACGTTAAAAGAAATGATGGATGCCATGTTGATAAATTCGAGACTACCCCAAAACATGTGGGGGGAAGCTGTTTTAACAGCAAATCATATCCTGAATAAAATATCACCTAAAGGGAAATATAAGACTCCTTACGAAATGTGGAAAAATCGTAAGTCGTCTTATAAATACCTGAAAGTGTGGGGGTGTTTGGCTAAGGTTTCAGTACCTGAACCAAAACAAATGCGAATCGGGCCAAAGACGGTCGATTGTGTATTTATTGGATATGCGTACAACAGTATGGCATATAGATTTCTGGTTCATAAATCAGAAAATCCAAAGGTATCTGTGGGTACCACGATTGAGTCAAGGAATGCTATATTCTTTGAGAATGTTTTTCCTATGAAGGAAAAGGCAGAATATAGTTCTAATAAACGAACGTATGAAACTGCTAGTGGTTCTGTACCAGAGGGTATTGATGAAGAACCGAGACGTAGTAAAAGGGTAAAAACGGCGAAAACGTTTGGACCTGATTTTATTACGTACATGTTGGACAATGAACCAAGTTCCCTTAAGGAAGCTCTGTCCAGCCCAGATGGACCACTCTGGGAAGAAGCTGTAAATAGCGAAATCGAGTCCATTATGCAGAACCATACTTGGGAGTTGGTTGATCTCCCTGATGGTTGTAAACCTTTAGGATGCAAGTGGATCCTAAAGAAGAAATATAAAGTCGATGGATCGATTAATAAGTTTAAAGCACGATTGGTGGTCAAAGGCTTTAAACAAAAAGAAGAGTATGATTTCTTTGATACCTATTCACCAGTTACGCGTTTAGCGTCGATAAGAGTGCTTCTCTCGATTGCTGCGTTGCACAATCTTGAGATTCACCAAATGGATGTCAAGACGACATTTTTGAATGGTGAATTGGAAGAAGAAATATACATGGAACAACCTTAAGGGTTTGTTGCACCTGGACAAGAGAGAAAGGTGTGTAGATTGATCAAATTATTGTACGGACTGAAACAAGCTCCGAAACAATGGGATTTGAAATTTGATGACGTGATGTTGTCAAATGGTTTCAAAATCAACGAATCTGATAAATGTGTTTATGTCAAGGGTACATCAAATACATTTGTGATTGTATGTCTATATGTAGACGATATGTTGATCATGGGGAGTAGCCATGAAGTGATCATGGATACGAAAAGAATGTTGAAAAGAAATTTCGACATGAAAGATATGGGTTTGGCTAATGTTATTCTTGGAATAAGAATTATCAGGACCCATGATGAAATTGTCTTGTCACAATCTCATTACGTAGAGAAAGTGCTCAAGAAATTTGATGCCTATGACGGTGCACAGTCTAGGCATATGTGTAAGACACCCCTTGATCTTAGTATAAATCTGGTAACCAATAAAGGTCAACCAGTGGCTCCGTTGGAATATTCATGGATAATAGGGAGTCTGATGTACTTGACGAATTGTACACGACCAGACTTGGCCTATCCAGTGAGTAAGTTGAGCAGATTCACGAGCAATCCCAGTCATGAGCACTGGGATGCTTTGAGAAGGGTACTTAAGTACTTGAGGTACACCCTTGAATACGGGCTAAAATACTCGAGATATCCAGCAGTACTTGAAGGGTACTGTGATGCAAGCTGGATATCAGAATCGAGGGATTCTCACTCCACTAGCGGATATGTTTTCTGCATTGGAGGAGGTGCAGTTTCGTGGAAATCCACAAAACAAACTTGTATAGCTCGTTCAACGATGGAATCGGAGTTCATCGCTTTAGATAAAGCTGGTGAAGAAGTCGAGTGGCTTAGAAATTTTTTATCCGATATTCCATGTTGGGATAAGACTTTGCCGCCTGTGATGATTCACTGTGATAGCCAAGCTGCTATAGGTAGGGCGCAAAGCAATTTGTATAACGGTAAGTCTAGACATATTCGTTGTAGACATAATACCGTACGTCAATTGATCTCAAATGGTGTTATTTCCATTGACTATGTGAAGTCTAAGAAAAATTTGACTGATCCTTTGACGAAAGGATTGAATAGAGATCAATTGGTAGTTTTGCTAGAGGGAATGGGCTTAAAAATCCACAATGTAAAGAATGATCATAGTGGTAACCCTACCATGCTGAATGGAGATCCCACGAACTTGGTTCAAAGGGAAAACTAAACTATGAAAATTCAGTTGAGCAGTTGGAACATATGAATGTCCAGAGCTATTCCTTAGAGCACTCCAAGTGCAAGATGACCTGTTGATTGTGGTGAGGGTAAGTCATGTGGACTTTTAATGAATCCCTAACCTTGTAATGGTGGAGTATGGCAGGATACTCTTGATAGGGAGGTCACCTATATAAGTGTGAAGTGTGGGCAGCTTCAAATGTAAACACTTATGAATCCATTGTGTTGTCCATGGCCAAAATGGACACAACGATAGAACGGAATGGAGTTAAGACTCTATTGTGTAAATGTCATTGACTCGGTGTACACTACGGAGGAATAGTTCAAGGCATCATGTCCACTAGTCCGCCAGTGCATCCGATGTTTACAAAGAAAGGTTCAAAGCCAAAAGCTACCTTCTCTGATACAATAGAGTTTTATAAGAGCACATAGTATATTATATTTATTTACACTCATGTGGGGGATTGTTGTATTATTGAGTGTAATAAATATGGTTGGTGGCATATTGATGGTGGAGTGTGTCAGAATTATTAATGGTTGAGGATGTCATGAATGCAATGTGTCAGGATCATTAATGAGGCATATGACTTCTCAAACAATTCTCCTTCTCTACTCAATCAATTGGTCTTAATAATTAAGACGAGTGATTATAATTCTTCCCAACCAACCTCATAAAGGCGACGAGTGGAGAGGTCTTCAATTTGCTGAAAAATCCTTATATAAATAGATGGAGTTGCATTCGGCAGAGAACGGAGAAAAATCACCATACGGCATAAGAAAGAAAGGGAAATAAAATAGAAATAAAAATAATATTTATATTTTTATTTTAGTGCTCAATTCTCGATTCCGTTCCAGTTCGCTGGACCTCGTAAATCTGGTGTGCTACAGATTTAGAGACGTTTGTCGTTGTATCTTTGGGGAAGTTACGCCTGAACTGTTAGCAGCCACACGGGGCGTATTCTTCTTGCGGAAAGAGTTTTACTCGCCTCGGCTAAAATCTTTCTGTAATTTTTTTTTTCAGTTGTAATTTATTTTAGTCTGTAATTTATTTTTCAGTTCGATTGTAATTTTCTATTTTAGATTATTTGTAAGAACTGGAAAAATTACATATCAGTTTGTAGGATTCCCGTGTATTTTTATACCAATTTTTTAACATTATGCACAACACAATCAAACTCAATTTTCGCGATAATTACTGGTGTAAATTGTGTAATTAAGAAAACTTGTTTTTAATTGTATTTGTATAATAATGCATACATTTTGGTTAGTTGTAATTTGTATATGTTATGGGAAAAGTCTTAAGTCCCGTTCCTCATTTTAACGGAACCATACCACTAATTATAAGCCAATAGAATTCAGCCACCTCATTGATTTAGTATGGACTTCATACACCTTATACTTCCCTGAAATTGTTGATAACATTATTTACGTTTTTTCATACTACCATGTATTGTAATAATTAAACAATAATAATATCAAATAATTAAAAACAAATAGTGAATGAATTAATTAAAATAAAAAAAGTATTTTTTATTTATGAGATAATATAAATAAAAAAATCTTTTTTAGTACAATGTATTTGTGAAAAGTTGTTTTCTAGAGATAACTGCGCATATCTTATTAATTTTTATTATTCAATACGTTAGTGAGTTGAGCAAATTTAATGATGATTACTTTCAACAATAATATGCTTTATTTATTTTACTATTTTTGACTTTTTAAAAATGATATATTTTAGTTAATTGAAGATTTGTATAACAATAATATATTTTAGTGAGTTGCAAAACTGATATTACTTTTGCATTCGTTAATGTGCAATCCGTCTAATAATAATGTTCACTCGTAGTGCGGTTATTTTTCAACGATTTTTTCCTAAACCAAACTAAGACCAAAATAATCAGTTTAATAATTATTTTGTTAAAAATATATCGTATATTTAAAAATCTATGTGAATAATAAATATCATTATCAAATTTATATTGTTTCATTAATTGAAATGAATTTATTCTTTTATAAACTATTCAAACCAAAAAATTTAAGTAGTTTAGTAATTTATTAGATTATAAATAATTTGACTTTTATATTTGGAACCCAAATTTGGACTACACAATAAATTCCCTTATATATTTCGCGCGCACACACACACACATATATATCCCCTTATATATATATATTATTTAAAAATTTTTTAAATTTGTTGTCGGTTACCTTCTTGTTCAAATTTATCAATTAATTCTCTATAATTAAATTACGAACTTTAAATTTTATTAACCAATATTTGTTTAAAGATACTTTTTATTTTCAAGAAGAATACATACCAATTTGCCGAATTATCATTAATATCTTATGGTAAGTTATTGTGGGAATATGCTAAAATTTGAGAATCATATCACCTTGATTTTATAACAAATCAACCTAAAAAATTCAACTTTCATACTCTTACCGAATAATGATCATACCATTTATTTTGTTTTTAAAAATTCCAAATACACTTCTATCCATACCATTTAAATTTGGTCATTTAATACAAAAAGAAAAATCGCACACATTATACCATAAATTCAGACATTTATCAATGACACATTTCCTACCAAAAATAAAAATGGTCATCCGATACCTCAAGTAAAATTGCACACTTTATACCAACAACGAAACTATTAATTTTACCGATTTTATACCATTAATTGATTAATTAAATTCTAGAGGCAAGATTTAAAAAAAAATAAAAAAAATAAAAAAATGACTACCAAGTTTTATTATTTTAAAATTTTAGGCAGGATTTTTTAAAAAAAAATGAAAAAAATGATTACCAAATTTAGTTATTTTAAAATTTTAGGCAGGATTTTAGCTTTATTTCAGGTAAATACAAAATTTTTTATAAATATAGATAAATAATAGAGACACAAATTTTCAAATTATTCTAATATTTATCCTTTTTTTTTCTTTCCCCATCTACAATTTATGCAATTATTATACTTTTCTCCCTACAAATTATTTACTTTCTCCCCATCCAAAATCCAAATTTTGCATATCATTTTTTTATTTTCTTTCTTACCAAGTTATTCTATTAAAAATTAAAACTTCTTGGGAACCTTAATAACTAGTATATTTATCATATTCTTACATATTATTTTGCTATACTTGTAGCCCGGGTAGCTTGTAAATTCTAACTCCGCCCTTGGATAGCATAACAATTTTCTGTGCGTAAATTCAGCACTACAAATTTATTTATAATCTATTTGTCGATGCTAGTGCTGTAACGAACAGAACCGAACTGAGTTTGGGCTGTTTGAGCTAGTGTTCGCTTATGTTGGAACAATGCTCGTGTTCGTTCGTTTATTTTTCGAGGAAAAAATCATGTTCGATCTTGTTCGTTTAATTGTTCGTCAAAGTTCGAGTTTGTTCGTGTTCGAATAATTTAATATATAAACATTTTAAATATGTTTGATTAACTCGAAATTTGTTCGTTCGAACTCGAAAATAAAAAAAATAAAAGAAATATTTTTATGTTTTAGATTTTTTATTAAAAACATTATGTAAATATATAATAATGAAATAAAATTATATTAAATTAATATTCACGAACATTATCGAATGTTCGCTAACGAGCTCGTATTCGTTCGATTATTAAACCAGCCTAATTTTCTATTCGAACTCGGCTCGATTAACAAATGAACGAGCTTTTGTCGAATACGAACGAGTTCGAATGAGCTTTTATTGGCGAACATTCGGTTCGTTTACAACTATAGTTGATGCTAAGGAATCAGAAATTAATTTATGAAAAAGTTATATAATGATCATGAAACACTGAACGTTTATAAAATTTGATTGTATATACATGCACCAAAATTCTATGCATTATTCTCATAACTTATTGAAAAAAAAAAAAAAAAATCTATACTTACCACTTACCAGTTTGTATATTCACTAGGCACTAATTCTAATATATTTATTCAACTTATTAGGAAAACTATTGTCTACAGTAGTGTACGTGTTGTTACTGTGCATCATCATAAAATCTAATGGCTAATAATAACTACCACTATCTAATGACTCATATTAAAGTAACGGCACGGTAGCCGCTCCCAGAAAAAAGAAAGGAAAACAATAAAAAATTGAGGAAAGTTGATAATAGGGGTTGATGTGATATTTTAATGGATTAATGTATTTTTTAAGTGTTAGGGAGTCAAATAAATAAAATTGTGTTTTTGGGGAGTGCAAGGATAGAGAAGTTAAAATGTTAAAAATTTAGTGAATAAATCCCTTTTCGAAAATAGCAAGTGCTACAATAAATTAGTTTGCTTAAAATCAATCAAGCAAAGCATCAATCTTCAATAAATTAAATAATAATAATAAATTAGAAATCTAAATATTTTCGTCTTAGTTGCATTTTCTATTTTCAATTGAAATTCTATCAAATGTATAAATGAAAAGAGTAAAAGAAAAAAGAGGCCCCAAATAATTGTGGCTAGGGATGAGGCGAAAAATATTTTATTTATAATTAATTAATTAATTTATTTATTTTTCACATTTCCACCTCTTCATTCAGTCAAACAAATAGTCATATCATATTATCATATCAGTTTTAGTCAAGGGTAAAAGTAGTGTTCACAAATTATTTATCTATTTATTTATTGTATTATTATTATTGTTACTATTATTATTATTTTACGGCGGTAAACCACTCTCGTCTCTCCCCACATCTTCACGTTCCCTACACAGTACAGAGATTTCTCAATTTCTCTAAACCTTGCCATGTTTTCAAAGAACCCACCTGTAATGCCGCTTTGTGCGTGCCAAGAGCTTTGATTCTTTTACTTTAGGAGCAAAAATTTCATAAATATCCGATAAAGTGAGCACCACAAGCTCTTGCTTGCCGACATCTGAGGCCCACCTCATGGTGAGGGAAAACCCTACTTGGGCCCTGGCTACTTTTGCATTTTAGTTTTCTGTTTTACCTTTTTTCTTTTGTTTGTTGGGATAGGTTCCCTTTGATGTTTCTTGCTATTTTATCTTCGGGACTGTTTAAATTTTTTATTTTTATTTTTTTCGCTCTGCTAATCGTTACGTGGGTTATGTATGTACTTGTGATTTGTTGCTGCCGATGAATTTCTTCATTTTTGGGGTGTATTTGTGTGTGATCGTACCATGGCATGTTTAAGGGGATAATTATTGTGTACTGTGCTAATATTTTAGATTGTGAGGGCAAAATGGTGAAACGGATTTTCAGGTGGGTTCTTTGAAAAGTCAATATCTTCATGAAATTGGGTTTTTTTTGTTTATCCAGACTTCAAAGTAACATAAAAAGATGATTTTATTTTATTTTTTTATTCAATAGGAATTTGTACATTGCAAATAGAGCTGGAAGAGTCATTGTTGACAATTCTCGTGGCATAATGCTAATGGACTAGATCAAAATGGCTCAATTAAATTCTAGTGCTTCTTCTATTAGTGAAGTTTCTAGAAAAAAAAAATATATATATCAAACGGCGCAATGCACCTTGGGTCGCTACGGAAACAGCCTCCTTGTATAATTACATGGGTAAGGTCTGCGTACAACTGACCCCCCAGACCCCAACCCGTTGAGAATATACTGGGTATGTTGTTGTTTTTATTCAATAGGAAAATAATTTGTCATTTTTGTTTATCTGGAGGGACAAAGGGGTTTGGTTGGAAAATCATTCATTATCGAGGTCGACCTAAGATTTTTGTCCTAAATGATTTGGGAAATAAAATGCTATAATAAAAGGAATGTTAGGTTGAACCGTTGAAGGGTTAAGTAGCTCTTATCACATAGCACAATGTTTTAAATGCTCTTAATGTGCAGGGTGAGTATTTTTTTATGTGAAGCAGTTCATGTATGCTTTTTTAATTGGAACCTTGATGGTCCCAGTATGCCCTTTCTGTTTTTAAATAAATAACTCATCAAGAACTAAAGTTACTTTTGATGTTTGGTGCACATTGATAATATATTAATATTCTAAACAATGTCTTTGCGCTCATATCAATAATTTAAAGGCTTATTATCACCACGTGCATTTCATTGGTTGGTCAGGGTAAAAGAATTTAATATATTATGATGTCCTCAGTATCTGTTGATACATATGCATGCATGGTTTTGTTTTGGTCAAATGTGTCTTCCTTATTTCCCACAATTAGAATCTCCCTTTTGGAAAACTTAGTTTAAAAAAAGAGCCATGGGGAAAACTTGAGCCACTTGACATTCACTAGCTATGTGAATGTTTAGGTAATGATATATAAGTGCTGAGTTCAGGATGCATGTCATTTATTGACGTTGCATTGAATTTGCTTTCTGTATAAACAGCATGTCAGCATATCAGCTATCTGCTGGTTATTTTGCCATGTCAAGGCCCATTTTAATCGTTTAGTTTAGTGTAACAAAAGGTAAATTAGCACTCAGTCGGACTACTAGATGTTTGGTTGATTTAACATGATCTTTCAGACTTTAATTGCTGAATGTCTGTTATTCTTCCATTATATCTTGTCCAGCTCTCAACACTAAAAACATCCGCAGGGACTATGCTACACTTTTAGAGTAAGACTTGTTAGTTTTCGCATCAGATACTCCATGGACTAAAATGGTTGAGTTCCTTGTTGCTAAGTTCTCAATATTGATGCTTTTGACCAAGCCTATTCATCTGCTTGATTTGTGATTTGTGTATCCTTTCATGCTTATTGTTTGTTGACGTTATGGCAATGTGAAATCATCTTTCTAGAAACCTGTAAACTGGTAGTATTTTGTTGTTGTATAATTTTCGGGAAGTATCTCTCCTTGCTGCATACTCTAATTTGTTATTACCGCATGATGGATAGAATCTATAACAGTTAGAAATTTGACGCCCAATATTTCTGTTTTCAGGAGTGTTGCGATATATGTGGGGCCACTGGTGTTGCTGAAGCTATAATTACTTGCTCCCAATGTAAAACAAATTGTGAGCATTTGTAAGTACTCCACATTTCTCTCTCATTCACTCACTTAGCTTTTTATCTCTGTTTGTGAATGTATATTTTGCTTTTATGTTTTGGTTGGATGAGTTTGGAAAGGAAAAATATGCAAAAAGCACTAAAATCACTCTTTGCAGCCTTTCTGATTTTGAGTTTGTGATCTAAGGTATTGCATGAGAGTCCGTATTGAGGAGCACTTCGATGAGTGGCAATGTAGAGAATGTGAATCTAAATCGAAACAAAAGCCAGTAACCAACTCTTTGGGTGAACACAAGATTGATGAGCTTCTTTTAGAGAGCCAGAAATTGCTTAACGAGTCAAGGAGCCGTCCATTTCATCTGGAAAAAAGGGTTGCAACGGGGAAAACTAAGTACCTCAGTGCTGAAGAAGCTATGAAGCTCTCATCAGGGCAGAATAAGTCGTTGGCCTCTACCAGTGTTCGACACATGAAAAACTCGAGAAATGAGAGGACACCTGTCAAGCCTAGAACTGTACCACGAGGTTTCTCACCAAAAGTGGGTCCTGCTTTGGGACACTTGGCACAATCAAAGCCTGAAAGACCTCGAAATGCGGAGGTTCATGAGAGAGGTCCGAGGAAGTTCAAGATGCTCTCAGGTTATTAATTTTTCAGCATTAATTTATTATTACGTTCGCATGTTTTCTGAAGTGCATAGACCATTTCTGGTAGAGAATCTGTTGGTTTTGATGGTTAATGTGGTGGAATAGAGTGGATAAGCGGTAGGGAGGATTGCTAGAATGAAGTGTGGAATATGACATACGAGGATGGAATGAATATTTATATTTGCCGGAAAAGAAATAAAAACGAAATTGTGAAGAAAAAAAGTGTGAGGGCTTTGCAGAAGGTTCTGTGGGGCATGTGGAACTATAAAAGGGTTTGGACATTATTGTTTTTACTTTTCATTTTTTTTAAGACCTTTATTAACTTTGTTGAACATTTATTTTGGTCTTGTTTTTCTAAAGAACAGAAGATGCAATGATGTATGAGGACTTTGTTGCTTTACCTTTTCACTGATGGGCCTATTATGTTGTGGAAAAGAGTGTGTGAAACTTTTTTCACAGCTTGTCACAAATTTAAATGAATGGGCCGTGGGGTTTCATAGCATGCCATACAACAGAAATTTGTATTTGCATTACTTATTGTCTCTATAGACGATCTTCTTTTGAATTATTCCATACCGTGGCTCCCCATTTGCGTCAAGTCAATTCATTAGTTCACTTTGCTTCCCAGGACCCCAGTAACTGGATTTAACAAAAACTTCTTATATGTAAACTTTTTGGATTGCAATGTTATACATCTTCAAGAGCATACTCTAGTCAAGCGTTTGACGAGAAATACATTTCTTCTCTTTTCTTTTCTTTTAGAAACTGAATTGTGATACTATGAGCCTAATGTCAATGTCCCACTTTGTTGCTTGTGGATAGAAAATCTGTAGTGCATGGCTGTGAGTCTTTAATTTGTCATCCTTCCATATACAAAATGATAAGGTATTTATTGATTTCGTCTGTTTAATCTTCTTTCTTCAATATGATTATTTTCAGAATTGCAAAGATCAGTGAGCAACCTCAACCGTTCTCAAGACCCTACAAACAAACAGATGAAAGAGCAAAGGCCAAGAGAAGTTCAATCGCCTCAAGCAAAGGCCAAAATATTAATGAAACCGCCCTCATCTACACCACCACCACCGCCACCGCCACCTCAGCTACCACCACTGCCACCTCAGCTACCACCACTGCCACCTCAGCAACCACCACCGCCATCTCAGCAACCACCAGTGCCACCTCAGCTACCCCCACCGCCACCTCAGCTACCACCACCGCCACCTCAACAACCTCCGCCACCACCTCCACCACCACCGCCACCTGTATTGCCTCCACCACCACCTCTACCACCGTCTTATGTCTCAACGTACAACATTTTAGGCAAGAACAGTATTCACTGATTGCTTCATGAACTTGTGTGCTTCCTGTTATTTGATATATATATTTTTTGGTTTGGTGCATTTATTATTAATTAATAAGAATTGGTGGGACTTGGAAGTATAAAGATTTTGTCTTTGGGTAGCATGTAAAATAATCTTATTTTCAGGTGGTACTCGTGTCACAACCATTCAACCGAGGACTTCTAATGCAGAGAATGTCAATAACAATATTTTGCCTGATTTACTCGAATGTTCATGCTCTCCTGCTTTGGATGCTTTGTGGAAGTAAGTTTTCTAACCTTTGTAAGAGACTTCTTGTCTGTTTGGATCTTCTTTACTCGTATGTGCTATTTTCTTGTATATGGAAGCGTGATCAAATAATATTGTTATAGATTTGCCCTGAAAAGGGCTGAAACAGGAATAGTTGATTGAATCTGTGGGCCTTGCTGTTAAGTTGTGGTTTTCGTTGCAAGTGCCAAAAATATGCAAATCTTCGGATCCCACATGGAAGAAAGCTTTTGATAACGTTTTTAATTTTCAGCTTCCTAGATACTGTCAGCCTGGAAATTTTTGAACACCAGAACCATTATATTTTGCAGACAAATGGACAATGTGTTTTTTTTTGTCTGTACTCATATGCCCTTATGTTACTGAAGTATCCTTAATATTATTTTTTATTTTTTTATCACCAGGGGGAACTTCAGCATACTGGATGATCATAGACATGGCAAGCTGAATTATCAAATCCGAGCTCATCCACCTTCCAAAGTTCGACGAAAGATCTATGAATTCTCGAAGAAGATGCCTGAAGTTCTCCAATTTGAGCTGGTTCCACTCAAAGAACTCTGGATCAATTTATTCAAGGGGCTTATACCAGATGAAAAAGACATTGGACTATATTTCTTTCCCAGTGCTCGAGAGAGGTATGCTTTTGTTCCCCCAGAATTTCCTTGCTAGTTTCAATTTCTGAGTTGTAAATTTGCCGATTTTCCTTCCACTCCTTGCAGATCTGAGGACTACATCACCCTACTGGAGTCCATTAGTGCTAAAAACTTGGCATTAAGGAAACAGATATCTGATGTTGAGCTCCTCATATTCACCTCCAAACTATTGCCAGTCAATTGCCAATGTGAGATCTCTCATCCGTTGGTGATTGTGATGAATCATATATAATTCCTTGTATAATGCTGATAAATTAATTCGATCATTGTATTCCAATTTAATATCTGTATCCGTACTTCAGTCCATGATCTTTTTGAATGTTGCAGTTCCGCCACAAAATAAATTTGGTCGCAACGGAAAACTAATATAGTGAAGGCTGTTGTGTAATACCATAATAAAAGTTCATTTCTGGTTTAAGCTTCACGAAATTTGTCTTTTCTGGACGGTTTTTACAGGCTGGGAAGGAAAAAACTTCCTGTGGGGCATCTTTCATCGCCTGAAAAAAGACTCGACCACTCGGCTGGAAAATCAAGAGGTCGACATGGACATCGACATGATCGGCGGCATTCATGTCGGGATGAAGGACGTTCTCGTCCAAAGGGAACCTCTCAGAAACAGACGACTTGTCTTCAACATGGACTCCGCGGACCCCACGCCACAGGATGAGAATCGCTGGATGGGAGCTCCTTTGCTTGATGTGAAGATAAAGAGTGAAGATGATGCTGTGCCTCCTGGATTTGAGGAGGTGCATAGGATGAGAATCGAGAAGGATAAATCGGGCAGTGGCAACCGTCTCAGTTGTTTTCCTCGCTCGTTTGGCGGGAAGGTGAGTTCGGACAACTTGTGAATTTTGTGATTAGTTCGAGAGGTTTATCGATGGGTTGTGGTGTAGAGCAATGATTTGATTTTGATGTGGCTAATATGCTTGAGTTTTTGTACAAATGTAGACTCAAGATTGTGGAAGGTAGTTTGTTGTTTTTGTTCATTGCTAAGCAAGGATATTGGTTGGTGAGATCATTGTTGACCTATTTACTTACTCACTTTGTTAAAATTCTGGTCTTGGCTATAGTAATATGTGATGAACTTGCTATTTGCTGAACTTTTGTGTCTGGGATTTTTATGGATTTTTGTAATTTTCTGGATTTAATTGGAAAGAAAATGATGTTGTAGGGGGAGGAGATAACATGATAATCTGGGCAAGGAGAAGAGAAACAAAATTTTGAGAAGAATTTTTGTGATATTTAGACTAGATGGTGATCAAATGACCAATCAATTTAATCAAGCAACTCGGATAAGCATGAACATCACACAATCAACACAAATTTACGACAAGAATCAACATCCATATCCCTAGGTGGATGGATTAGCTCATGCTCAATTGAATTTCACGCTAATCACCGTGTGTTTCGGTTCCAACAATTCGAGCATGAGTAAGAGAAAAAACGGAGAAAAATCCTATGAAAATAGGTCCAATGGTTGTACTTACTTCTGGTTCACGTTCCTCGGACTTTGCACAATGCGTGGGGTTATTTTGGTGAATTTTTGGCCCCAATCCGGCTATGGTTCTGGACAAAAATATCTGTGCAACATTTTCTACAAAAAATAAAATAAAAAGATATACGAAAAATAGAAAAAAAAATATGCAAATAAATGAAAACACACAACATTGCTCACCCCTACTTGAGGCTTGAGCTAATGAAACACAAGTTGGGGCTCGGATTCGATCGAACTCGAAGCTTAGTCAGACTCGAGCTAGAGTTCAGCCTTGACTCCAGTTGATATTTAAATAGCCTCGACTCACAGCGCTTCTCCGCCACTTACAGACCGTCATCCCACCGCCGCCACCACAGCCGGCGGCGGCATTCCCTCATTATTCATTAACGTTGAATTTCGACCCACTTCGCTTCTCTCTTAATTTTCTTTCCCGCCGCTCGATTATATGTATCTTTCAACAGTCCCAAACATCGCGTCGCCTTACATTACCTACGGAAAGCTCCTCTCCAAGCTCGCTCAGACCAAGTCCGTAAACGAAGGCCTAAAAGTCCACGCCCACCTCATCAAATCCGGACTATTCGAGGGCGACAAACACCGCAGTCATTTGGTGAACCTGTACGCAAAGTGTAAGTTCTTCGGCCACGCACGGAACTTGATCGACGAAAGTCCCGAGCCGGACTTTGTCTCCTGGTCCTCGCTGGTCTCCGGGTACGTCCAGAATGGGCTTGGAAAGGAGGCCATTCTCTCCTTTCGCGAGATGCGATCTCTGGATGTCAGGTGCAATGAATACGCCTTGCCCAGCGTGCTCAAGGCTTGTTCAGAAACAAAGAACTTCACCTTCGGGAAACAGGTTCATGGACTCGTGCTCGTGACAGGTTTCGGGTCGGATGTGTATGTTGCAAATACTTTGGTAGTTATGTATGCAAAATGTAATAATTTTTTGGGTTGCAAGAGATTGTTTGAGGATATAGAGGAGAGGAATGTGGTCTCCTGGAATACTTTGCTTTCGTGTTACGCTCGGGCAGATTTTTTTAGTGAGGCAATGGGTTTGTTTGGGGAGATGGTTTGTGGTGGAGTTAGGCCGGATGAGTACTGCTTGTCGACTGTGTTGAACGCTGCAGCGGGGCTTGGAGATATCGATCAGGGGAAGAAGGTTCATGGCTATCTTATAAAGCTTGGTTATGAAGGTGATCAGTTCTCTCTGAATGCGTTGGTTGATATGTACACAAAAGTGGGCGATTTTAAAGATGCAATTGATGTTTTTGGTAATATTCCGGAACCTGATATAGTTTCTTGGAATGCGCTAATTTCTGGTTGTGTATTGCATGGATATTACGACCAAGCTTTGGCATCTTTAGAACGAATGCAGAGATCAGGTGTAAACCCGAATGTGTTTACGTTACCAAGCGCCCTTAAAGCATGCGCGGCGTTAGCTGATAGGAGATTGGGCAAACAATTGCATGCCAGGTTGATTAAGATGGAGATAATGATGGATCCATTTGTTTTTGTAGGCCTAATTGACATGTATTGCAAGTGCCAACTGATGAAACATGCATTAATGGTGTACCGTTTGATGCCAGAGAAAAACTTGGTGGCAATGAATGCAATGATCGCTGGGCATACACAAAATGGGGAGAATTGGGAAGCTTTAACCCTGTTTACGGCTATGTACAATCAAGGAATGGAATTTAATCAGGCAACTTTACTAGCTGCCCTGAATACAGTTGCTAGTTTGGAGGCGCTTATTGTCTCCAAACAGATTCATGGACTCATTGTGAAATCTGGCTACCAAGCTGATAGTTTCATTTTAAACAGCTTGGTCGATGTGTATGGAAAATGCAAGCAGGTTCATGATGCGGGTAGGATTTTTGAAGAATGCCCGGTTTGGGATTTACCATCTTATACCTCGTTAATGACGACCTATGCTCAATGTGGACAAGGGGAAGAAGCTTTAAAGCTCTATCTAAAGGTTCTGGACAGGGGTCTTGCACCAGATTCTTTTATTTGCAGTTCTCTACTCAATGCCTGTGCAAATTTATCAGCTTACGTACAGGGGAAGCAAATCCATGTTCATGTCCTGAAGCTGGGGTTCATGTCTGATTCTTTTGCTGGGAATTCACTTGTCAATATGTATGCCAAATGTGGAAGTATAGAGGAGGCGGGTCGTGCTTTTGATGAGGTTCTTGAGAAAAGTGTCATATCATGGTCCGCAATGATTGGTGGGCTCGCACAACACGGCCATGGTAAACAGGCACTTCATTTGTTCGATGATATGTTGAAAGACGGTGTTTCCCCCAATCACGTGACATTAGTCAGTGTTCTTAGTGCCTGTAACCATGCCGGTCTAGTTGAAGAGGCCCAATTGTATTTTGACACAATGAAAGAGAGATTTGGCATCGATCGAACTCAAGAACATTATGCTTGCATGATTGATGTTCTTGGCCGGGCGGGGAAGTTGGATAGAGCAATGAATCTGGTGAACGGTATGCCATTTGAAGCAAATGGGGCCATTTGGGGGGCGCTTCTAGGGGCTGCCAAAACCCACAAGAACGTGGATCTTGGGGAGCATGCAGCCAACATGCTTCAAACCCTAGAACCCGAAAAATCAGGGACCCATGTTCTCTTGGCAAATATCTATGCCTCAGCAGGATTATGGGATAATGTTGCAAAAGCACGAAGATTAATGAAGGATAGCAACGTGAAGAAGGAGCCGGGGATGAGCTGGATGGAGGTGAAAGATAACATACACACATTCATAGTCGGGGACAAAAGCCATCCTAGAAGTGAAGAGATTTATGCAAAACTTGAGGAATTGGGACGCAAGATGGAAAAAGCCGGCTATGTTCCTATGTTAGAAACTGACCTCCATCACGTGGAGAAGAAAGAGAAGGAACTCCTGCTCTCGTTTCACAGTGAAAAACTTGCGGTGGCTTTTGGACTGATTGTGACCCCACCAGGAGCCCCCATTAGGGTGAAGAAGAATCTCCGCATATGTGTGGACTGCCACACGGTGTTCAAGTACATATGTAAGATAGAATCGAGAGAAATAATTATTCGGGATATCAACCGATTCCACCACTTCAGGGATGGATTATGTTCATGTGGGGATTATTGGTGACATTAATTTGAGTAATGATACACTCATGGTCTTTTATCTTGTAAAGAGAAGCTAGCTGATGGGCATATTTGGTACTCATTCTCCTTGGAGAACGGAGGACTATACTTCGAGGTTTAAAAAAGTCGCCTAACACATCAATGTTCAAGAATTTTAGTTATTTACTGAAAATTTTCAAAATTTTGTTTCAGATTAATTTGATAGTCAATCGAATCGATCATGGTGAATGGGGTTTAGTAGTTTAGAGTGTTTCTGTGCTTATTTATATTATTATAAACTGGTGTAGCATATTATATTGCTTTTAGCATCTCTTGTGTCACTTGAAGAGACCCAACATTCATTTGTTCATGATCTCTGTGTTGGTTATGCAGATATTGGTAAAGTACATACATTTCGGAGCTTCAACCATGTGGATATAGTAGCAACTCTTTTCTGATAACTCATTAAACAGATAAAATCCCTTAGTTAATTCAATTCTTATCTATATCTTTAGATATGCCTTTTGCTGAAGTAAATAGGAAAAATTCATTGATTGTAAAAGTCTTGATCATTAGTGTAATAAATATCTCTGCATATTTCATTTACAAGCTATCGCTCCGCTGTGATCATTTGTTTCCAGATATTGAAGGAGGACCATTTGTATCGTCATGGTTGATCATGTTCATAATGTTTTGTGAATATTGGCCAAGTTGTTAGTTCATAGTTTAATCAAATGCTAGAGGAAGGAAAAAAGGAAAAACAAAAAAATTGAAAATGGCAAGATGGGAACACGTAATGAGGTTGAGATCCTTGGTATTTCTTTTTATAGTGGTGTGTTTTAATCTCTCCCTTTCATGCGGGCAATTTTATGTTTAATCTCTGTTCCTTTTCCTATTTTTATAATGTTCCATACATTTTACTATCATTTTACAGATTAAAAGCCCTTATTGTGATGCTGAGAATAGAGATTTTCGGCTAGGAATCTACAACAATATACCTGCAGCTATGGAAAATCCCTCGGTTGAACCCAATGAGCCTCCTAACAATAGTATGTTACAAATTAAGCTTAAAAATTGAAGTGTTCGTTTGGTTTCATCAAATTCTAGTTGTTGTTTTTCACAGTAAACTAACAGCAATTATGATAGATGTGACAAAAGTTATGCGCAAGGCATTTGTGTGGTATGCCTCATATGGGTCAAATATGGACATGCAGAGATTCCTCTGCTACATTGAAGGTGGACAGGTAAGCATCTTTTGTAGCATACCTCATAAACTTCCGATTTTGTTGAACCATCTGTTTTAAATTATGGCTAGTTGTTTAATGCATGCGCTTTTGGCTATTTAAACAAGTATTAAGTTTTACAAATAATTACAACAATTCTTGCTTTCTTGGTTATCAGCCTGTCTCTTGAATTAGTATTCTTGGAGCTGCAACTAATTACGACTTGGATCTCACTTCGAGCTTCTTTCTGGAAATGATATTATTTTGAAGGGTCTCTTTGGTTTAGCCCTCCAAAATCTCGAAATCTAGGATTGAGACTCCAAAAATCTACATTTTATTTTTAGACTTAAAAGTGAAGTTTCTGAACAGAAACCATACAAGCGAATTTGTTACAAATACTAACTTATTTACCTCGTCGTTTTTATTTAATTGTTGATTTATACATATATTTTTATATCAATGGCTCAACTTCTAGTTGAATAAATTACAGGTTGTGGGTATGGAGAGACCTTATGAAGGAAGTAGGGACAAGACTAGACCCCAGAGTACAAGATGGGTAACTGCTAATTATCGTATGTTTTTTGGACGTAACCACACAAAGGCGTGGGGCCCAGGTGGTGTTGCGTTCCTTGAACTACACAAAGATAGGAAGCACAAATCGCATATCCGCATTTACAAAATCAGGTTAACTTATCGATTGGTTTAACTTTTTTTATTATCCTTAATCTCTGCGTGATTTTCAGACTGCCTTAGCTGATGTGCTGTACAATCATATTGCTTTTTTCTTGATAGTCTTCAACAGTTCAATGATGTTATGAGACAAGAGAATAGTGGAAAATTTGTTAAGAATTTTCCCTTGTTCACCTGGACTGACTTGATGTCCATCAGGCATAGAGGGTACATATTCATGAAGGCTATCAAGGTATGCCCCAAATTCGGATAACTTGGAGACACAGCATAAGCGTTTTGATTAATAAACTTACCAAGATTTTATTTATTTATTTATTTATTTATTTATTTTTTGGTGTAATCTGTAGTATTTAAATCTGAATGTTTAAGGTTGAATGGAATTGTGAAAATATGAATAATTTGAGTATGTTTTGCTGTTTTGGTAACTTATCGTTTGTCAATAAGTATTTATAGCATGAGTTTCTGATATGTCAGATGGCTTGATTTATCTTCTCATTAGACAAAACAAATGATGGCAGTCCTAAATGGGTTACTAATAAACCTTTGAAATACACAAGCATGCTTGTCATCATTTAACAACTAAACTGCACCTTAAACTCTTGAACAGTTGTGCTACCTGGACAATTATGTCTGTCTAACTTATCTTTCCTCTGAACATAGAACATTCAGGTCCTGAATTTCACGAGTGATTCATTATATTTCAAAATTTTCATGATTTTCTTAGTATTATATAACACTAGCTGCCTATTTCAAATATGTGAGATTTAACATACAAATCCTAAATATGTGATTTTTTTTTTTCTTTTTATGACTATTAACATTGGTGAGATGACTTCAGGCAGGCTGGTACCGGACAGTTGTATACATGGGAGACGTAGAGATGATTCCGGTGTTGACATTTACGTAAGGATTAATATTTAGACAGTATAATTGTAGATCTTTCTCCACTATTATTTTTTAACCGGATGACATAGAAAAATCGTCTGATATTCCATGTTGCTTAATCTTTTGTGTGTTAATAGACAACAAAAGTCACATTTTATTGACATTTTTCCAAATCAACCCCCAGCAAAAAAAAAAAAAAAAAAAAAAANAATGCATGCTGCATTAATATTACAATTTCTCCCCTTAATTCTTGTAAACTACAGATGCTCGCCATCAGTAATCGAAGACTTCAGGTCAGGGAAACGTCCCCTGTGCGCACCATCGAAGGGTTACACAGATATCTTGATGAAGGCACTTGTTGAACAAGCAAAGCTTCCAGTGCAAGTAGCAAGGAACTACATAAGGGATTCTTATGAAAAGACTCTTAATGGCTCTCATTCTTGCAATGTCCTTTGTTCACAATAAAGCTTTGAGCTTTATGTGCACTGGTTGGCAAACACTTCCTGAGAACCTCTCAATAAAGCATTGAGCTTCATTCTAGTTTGTATATGGATTGTAGAAACTAGAAATACACGTCGTGTTCAGTCGTGCAGCTTCTTGGTTGGGTTTGCTTGTTCTCGGAACGATTTCCTGATTGTTTTAAATAAATTAACAAATCTTATTGTGTTGATACAGTAGTACTTGATAAATTTCGAGCACCTTTCAAATGGCTTTCTTTTTAAGGTGAATTTATTCATGAATAACTCTGTCACTAGTTCTTAAGTTCTAAACGTAAGAGTTTGAAAATATTATTTTGTTATGAAACCGCAAGCAAACTAACTACATCATTTGTAAAGAAATATTCAGAATTGTACAGTTCTTATTTGTATGATAGTTTAAGTTGACATCGGTTGTACAACTCTTATTTGTATGATAGTTTATAAATTGACGTCGCATGTGCACATATAAAAGAGTAACAGTCCATATTAAACAGAGGATGATGTAATTTAAAAATTTAAAATACAAATTTGCATGTCTTATTTTCTTATGCATACATTCCTTAAAAGTTAAAAGGGTGTTTTTAGTTTTCTTTTTTATCATTAATTAACAAAATATAAAAAGACGAAAAACTGATAAAAGAAGAAAAAAGAAAAAAAGGAATTGTGGGTTTTCTTTAAATAGAGAAAATACCCAATTGGTGGAGAACAGAGCGCCTTTTATATTCCCAAGATTTCACTTTTCAGCATTTGCTTTTCATTTCCGAAACTTTGGGCAGCTTCAAAATTCAAACTCGAAGTCACCCCAGCAGTCCTATTATCGTCCCTGTTGAGTTTCAAAACGGAAGCAGAAATGGAGGTTGATAATGGGACTGAGAGGTCTTTGAGCATAAACAACGACGATGCTACTCCAAAACATCGGCGCGTGGGTCTGATATATGACGAGAGGATGTGTAAACACTACGCGCCTGATGAGGATCACCCAGAATGTCCGGATCGCATTCGGGTCATCTGGGACAGCCTCAATTCATCTGGGCTTGCGAAAAGGTTCTTGCTTTTAAACCCAATTGTTTGGCTCTGCGCGCGCGCGCGACATTTGATTCATGTGCCTGTTTTTATTCCGTGGAAGTGTGTGTATGTTTCATGTGTTTGTTATTCCTGGAGTTTGTATAGTTGGTTGTTTGTTCCTCTTCTCTTTCCAGTAATTTGACTGAGTGCCAGTGATTGAAATGTGATTTTCACGATTGAAATTAGTGAGCCCATGTAGTTTTATACCTTTTGATACAGGTGAAATTATCCATTTTTCAAGGATTCTACTGATGATTGTAAAACATTTCCTATTTATTTATTCGTTTTCCTCTCTCTCTCTCTCTCTCTCTCTTGTTATTCCTTGTAATTGACCTTAGTACCAGTGTCTGAAATGAGTTATTTTTACACACTTGATGAAATTCTCATTTATGTGATTCTGCGAATGGTTGCTGAACTTTTCCTAATTTCTTCATTCCCTATTGGGAGTGTTACATGGGATGTATTATCATGTTTTAATTAATAAAATGATATAATTTTCATGTTTTATTTCTGGTGTCCAGCCAGGAAATTTTCCTTTCCTTTTATTTTGGTCATTAGTTACTGAGTGTGATCCTTCTTAAGAATGTTGTTTTTACTTGGAAGAAATTTTTATGATCTGTATTAACACTTAGTATTTACAGATGTGTGATTCTGGATGCCAAGGACGCTGAGGACAAACATCTGGCTTTGGTTCACACCAAACACCATATCGACTTGGTTAAGAATATTAGCTCCAAATACTCCAGCTCCAAGAGAAAAAGACTTGCTTCAAAATTTAACTCTATTTATTTCAATGAAGGCTCATCTGAAGCTGCTTATCTTGCTGCGGGCTCTGTCATAGAGGTACGACCCTTCGATATTCTGTTAAACATTTCTTAGATTTTTTTAATATCATTTTTTTGTAGGGAATTTAACTTGTAAATGATAAGAAAGTAATCTTAATATGTACAGGAAGTGGCAAGCGATTGCTTCACTTCTGCATGAAATTTGAATATATTCTTCGAGAATTTTGTAATTTACCTTGGAAATCTCCAATAATGTTTTTCCTTCATTTTTATTTTTGCTTTTCTCCTTACAAATAGGCTTCTACTTGGGTTTACAAACATTTTGTTCATATAGGTTGCTGATCAAGTTGCTAAAGGAGAACTTGACTCAGCATTTGCTATTGTGAGGCCTCCTGGACACCATGCAGAAGAAAACGAACCAATGGGATTTTGCCTATACAACAATGTTGCTATTGCCACAAGTTATCTACTGAATGAAAGAGTGAGAGCTGGTTTTATACTTGCATTTGATTTAGTGAGAAGTTTCTAAACTTAGTGCTTTTATTTTTCTTACCTGAAAAGATTTGATATATGTTGCCGATTCTCGTACTGTAGATAGATTTGGGGATCAAGAAAATTCTGATTGTTGACTGGGATGTGCATCATGGGAATGGTACTCAGAATATGTTCTACAATGACCCCAGAGTACTTTTCTTCTCAGTTCATAGGTACAAGGAAGATTATTTTCAAGTTTTGCTTTGTTTATGAGAAAGCATGAACATAATTATTACGCATGGGCAAACAGGCAACACAGTTAACATAGTTGATACATGCTTATGAAATAACCATTATTATTCTTCATGTTTTTATTATGTACATAAATGAAGTTAATCTTTTCTTTAATTCATGTGTAGATGTACGGTGCAATTTATACACTCCCCAACATGCCTCTAATGTGTAGAGACATGCGCACATGATTCAAAACTTTCCTCTGGGATGAAGTTGAATTAATTTCAAACATAGTTTTAGTCTTCGGGCAATTTTTAATTATTGAAATCCATTGCACATTATTTAATGGTCTTTTTGTTTACCAAGTTCTGATGCTTACCTCATGCAAGCCTTTTTATATATATTTTTTAATGGGACAAATTACATTAGATCCCTGTTATAGAACTCTATTGCATTCACAAAATGTGACCTCATGCGATGCTTGTCATTATTTATTTTTCATGTTTCTGGGTCTTTTGTCTTTATGTCTTAATTAGGTTTGATTATGGGACTTTCTATCCAGCTGGTCATGATGGCTCATATATCATGACTGGGGACGGGCCAGGTGCTGGATACAATATTAATGTCCCTTGGGAGAATGGTAGATGTGGAGATGCTGATTATATCGCTGTTTGGGATCAGATATTAGTCCCTGTTGCTAAGGATTTCAATCCGGATATGATAATTGTCTCTGCTGGATTTGATGCAGGTATGTGCAGTTACTGATCAAATCGTCAAGCCCAATTTTTCGTGCATCTCTTATATTATTTGCTTCACGCATCACTTAATGCACCAATTAGTTTTTAGCCTTCTTTCATTCCCGCACTCTATGAAATAATTGCCCAGGATCTGTTATATCCAATATTTCTATGCTAACAAGTGTCATGTTGTTGTTACAAATTGGATAATAATCCCCCTTCAAACTGTATTTTGACATGAATATGAAATTTTTCAGTAATACATTTTGTTTTCACTTGGGGTGTTTCTAAGGGATTGTACAGTTACCATTATATACATTCTGAATCTAAACTTGCGACTGGATTGTCAAGCAGTTATTTTCACCGAATGGTTTGAAATGTTCAGTTTGCACAGTTGAGTGTGTATTGCATCATACATTTATTAATTAGAGAATTATAAAAAAAATGATAATCTGTTTTGGTTTAGTCATATTGAGTCTTGCAGAATTTTGAAACTTATGAGTGAGTTGCGTGTTGTAAAGGCTCGAGTAGAATAACACCGAATCTTATCTATTCAACGCTCAAAGGATACTTCTTCTATTATTTAATGGAAATAAGTATTGAATTACCCCTTTACGCAACTAGAGTTCTTTTAAAGTGTTAACTTAAAACATGTATTCGGAATAAACTATAGGTGCTCATAATCGTTCTTTTGTACATTCCATGCAACTGAAGTTGTATGCTCTTCTTTATCAGATATTCCCTATTCAAACTGTTAATGTCTTAATATGTACTGTTGTCTATTCATGAAATTAAGGTTAACCCACAACTTTCACTTAATCTATTGTTAATTTGAACAGCCATAGGAGATCCTTTGGGAGGCTGCCGTCTTAGTCCTTATGGCTACTCAGTTTTGCTTCACAAGGTTAGCATTTCCAGTTACTAATCATTATTCAAAAGAAAAAGAAGAAATTTCTGTATATTCCTTCATATTTTCCTTGAAAATATGTTAAACTCTCATTTGCTTTTCTAAATCCTTGGCTTAGTTGATGGAGTTTGCTGGAGGAAGAATTGTAATGGCGCTTGAAGGGGGATATAATCTTAAATCAATAGCAAATTCAGCCCACGCATGCGTTGAGGTATTGCTTGAGGGCAAGCCTATTGATGGCTCCCTTGAAGCTTATCCTTTTGAATCTTCTTGGCGTGTGATACAAGAGGTAATATGCCAAATGTATTGGTTACAATTTCATTTCGTTATCGGTGCTTTTAACTACTTTTAAACATGATTTTTTCTTTTGATCTTAGGATTTCTTAAAATGGTTTCGTATTTGTATTAACTTAGTTTTTGGCATGTGTTTATCTTTAGGTACGTCAACATTTAAAAACATATTGGCCAGCACTTGCTGCTGAATTACCAGGGAAGGTGATTAATAAAACATCTCCAGTCGTGGTAAGATCACCCTTTATCCTTCTGTCTATAGAAATCTTCTTTAAAATATATTCATAGCTCGTGTGGTAATGATAGTCGATTTTCTTCTTTCGGGTCATCCATTTCATATTTTCATATCTTGGCTACTAATGACTCTATTCCTTAATCGCAGATATCAAGCTCCGACTCTGAAGACGAGCATGAAAATATTCCATCACAAGAAGTTCAGAATATTGATGACGTTACACAACATTTGATGAACTTGAAAGTCGAAGATGGTCAAGGTAAATAAGCACATTATAATTCTTTCCAAATCTAAAATGTTTTATGTTCAACTTTTTGAAGCACTGACCGAATGTAGAACGCGAAGCAACTTCTGTTTCGTCTTCATGGAGATCGGACCTTTCTAAAGTTTATGTTTGGTATGCAACCTACGGATCAAACATGTGCAAATCAAGATTTTCGTGCTATATCGAGGGTGGACAGGTAAAGTACATTGTCACTTAAA